TGATTACACAAACTAACTTTATTTTATTCTTACTATCTGGAATGCTATTAAAATTTTCATTTCATATTCTGATGAATTTGATTATAAAGCATCCTTCATTCTCTTTATAAATAAATAAGAAATATCTCATTAATGAGATTAGATAATATTTCTAAACATCCAATAAATAAATCATGTAATTAAGTACAAAGTGACCATCACTTTGATTGTTCTTCTTCAAGTCGTGATTCTTGAAACTGTTTTCTTGCTTCACGATTCGATTGGAGCAATTCAGTTAGTTGTGCACGTATATCATCATTCTTCTTTTCCAAATGATCCAAAGCAGCTTCCAAGTCCTCCAACTCATCTTCTAACGCCTTCATACCTGTATCTAATTCATAGTATATACTTTTTCATTTTAGTTAGATTTAAAAAGATATATTTTGTTTCAATCATTATCAGAAAGCTCAACATTATAATTCAAAGGTACATGTTTATTTTCGAAATTGTCCATACATATATCTTTGAATTTATTTAAATATACATTAGGAACATGCAATAAAACTTTAATGGAATTCTGTAATCCCTTTACGATGTTAAGGAGAGTTATAGGGTATTATCAAATTTCAAATCTTCACAAGACCTACTCGAAAAGATCCAAGAATGCTTACTTACCGATAATATCTTCTTCAGTAAACGCATCCTCCTCAATGCGATCGCAAATGTGATCAACCATGTGACTGACCATAGACGACAACAATTGTTCCTCGTTTTCGACATAGGTTACTTCATCGTCAGTGTCATCGTAACTAGCTTCTTCTGTTTGTATCTCTTCCATATCTTCTTCTTTTTTCATTTCTTCCGTTGGTGGATTTTCGTCTTTCGCCATATTTCCTTCTTTTACTTGCTCCAGAGAATCACTCGAAATCAGCTGACTTTATCTAATTAAAGATACACACGCGTGACAACAGTCACGTGATTAAATACCCGTGATCTCAATCTGACATTTCATTCGTCGTGTGCGATAATCTTTTTGATTGGAACATGTTGATTGGTTACAAGATAGTTAATTTTTGGAGACTTGAAAATTTCACTATTGTACAGCCAATCAACACGTTCAAAAATCAATATTTGATTGATGTAGAAATTCATCATTCTTCTGTCGAACCTCTTAAATATTTTAAAGATCAGATTTTTTAAAAACAAAAGAGTAAAATATCCTTCTAAAAAGAAAAACAAAAAATAAATATATTGAAATACCATGGCAGCAATTTTGCTTTGCTTTTATTGAAATTTCATTTTCAATTTTATTTAATAAATACAATGAATTTTTTGTACCAATCTGATAATTATTATAAATTATTTAGCTTGCCACTTCGCTCGCTTTTGATATTTTATTGATTGCGTTTTTAACAGAATGTTATTTGATAATTATTGGAAGTTGTTGCGGTAAGATCAAGAGTCTTGATTGGTCAACTCATAACAAATTCTTTGTTCTGATTGGCTAATTAAACATTTCGAAGCACTTGTAATATAAGACTGCACCCTAAGTTATATTTTTAAATTTAAAAGAATAATCCAATCTTAGCACTGAAAACTAATAATTGCAAAATAAGTGTTTTTATTAAATACAATCTTTGATATTCACAAAGATCAAATCGTGATGATTTATGGAACGCGGCGCGGCAAATCGAAGGATTTATTCTAAAATTCAAATCGCTTCTTACTTTTTATAATTGTTATTGTTTAAACTGCAACTTACGCGAGAAAAAATATTATGCGTATCTTTCATAAGATATCAGTTTATTGATTAAATATCCTGCTATTATCAGTATCGTGATTCCAACATGAAGAATCGAACAGAAATCTCTTGTTATATTTTGCCAAAAAATTATTTTTTGTCGAGATATAATAAAAATGTAATTGATTGATGTTATCAGATACGTATATTATCATTCTAAATAAATTATATTGATTATATTTATTGCCCGGATATAACCTGTATGACAAAAAAACTTGCATCATTGCTCCAGTGTTACAATATTACAAAAGTTTCTGCAATATAATTACAAGATTTGTATGAGAATTTACTATTTATTAATTATTTTTAATATTTTTCAAAATATGATGAATTTCATTTCTATTTGTTTGATTTATTACTTACTTATTATTATTGAAAGTGATAATCTTGTCAATTTTAAACTATATATATTTGACAGATAAAAAAACATATTCTCATATATTTACATACAGAAATATTATTCTTTGAACTATTTTTATTTTTT